GCTCCTCAGGTGCCTTCGTCCAGATCCTGAGACCCCACTCTAGGCCTCCCCACTTCCCCTGACAGCCCTTCATGATGAAGAGGGAAGGGGAGGGAAGGAGGAGAGGTTTTTCCTGAGGGAAGAACAAGGAGGATAGTGTAGAGGAAAGCCATGACCATTTACATGGTGAATTAGTGCTGTTTTTAAAGATACAGGCAACATTTCAGCAATAAGAAAAAAGGAAAATATTAAAGGTCCCATACTCTCACCACCCTAAAAACTCACTTTTTACTTCTTTTTTTGTTCATATTAATATACATATATTTTTCTGTTGAGTTGTCTCTTATTTCCTTTTACTATAGCTCGCCCGAGTTTTTATTTCAAATCCCATTTCCACACAATAGAAGGAAATTTAGTCTAGTCACGTCCACACTTAAATGTGGCCAAATTCAGCCATTTCTTGCTGTTTGCTATTTCTGCTCCGTATGCTGTCAGTCAGGCACAGCCCAGCCTCTCCTCTCTTCCCCTCCCCGACGCACCCCATCCTTGGTATGGATGGTAAGGGGCCCTGGATCTTTGCGAAGACTTCCAGCCTTCAGTGCTGATCTCTCTTGGGCCTGTTCTGGCATAGGCTTACTGTGACATGGGGGCCTCCCCCTTCTCCTGTCAGGCCTGCCTTCCTCCACTTCTCCTCTGTTGTTGCCACATCATGTAGGCTGCTGGACTTTTCTTGGGGGCTCCTTTGGAAGCAACGTTATGTCTCACACTCAGATCCTGTCCTGTTGAAAGGTGATGGGGTCTGTCCTGTTCTCCCTGGAATTCTGCTTGAGAGTGAAGATCAGAATCCCTGCACTGAGTCTCTCTCTCAGCGTCTTTACGCTCTTGACTCAGCTCAGAGGATCTCTACCCAGTTCCCCAGGTCTAAGAAGTTGCTCTCTTGTGCCCAGGTTCCTCTGGGAGCATGCCACCTGGGAACAGTGTCTGCTTCGTATCTTTAGGCAGAGGGTGAGGGAAGGGAATGCATTTAAGGAGGAAAGTGATTGCATATTTCGTAGTATCAGCCTGCCACATCTGTAACTGTTCTGTAATTGTAACTTTGCATCAGGGCCGTTTTAACACAGTACCAGCAGCATTTTGCCAGTAAGTGGTGGTCATTTTCATGGCTGCAAAATGCTCACTCTTTGAGTGACTGTAACATAATTTAATTAACCACCCCCCTTTATTGGACACTGATTTCCAATTTTTAGATATTAGACACAGCACTGCTGTAAGTCTGTGAGGTCTGAAAGAAAATTTACTTTAACAAAAAGCCTGAGGAAGCAATTTTGTAAAACTGTTCTGAACTGCCGTGGATGAAGCGCTTGTCTGCAGATGAAGGCCTGGAGCCCACTCGCTCTTAGCTTGTTTTTAAAATCATGAAGAATTCTGCCCACTAGGGGTTCCAGTTCTTGCCCTAAAATGATGGCTATCACCCGCACCCCCAACCCCCAACTTTTCTCTTCCTTGGCTTAACTCAGCCACAATTTTCTGGTTTGAGATTCAGGAGCCCCTTTTTCTACAACAGTGGAAATCTAAGCCATTTCTGCTAACCGGCCGGACGGTTTAAAAATTTCATCATTCAAGAAATTCAAGAACTGCTGCATTGTTAAAAGGCAAAGCCCTCAATAGGGAGCGAACAGAGTCCTGAGAACCAGAAAACATGGACATTCTGATTCCTACAGACTGAATTTGCAAGAATATTTTATCTGAAGATGAAGATCTGTATAGGACATTCTTCCTGTTTCCTACATAAGAGGCCTCTGTTTTGAGGTCATTTCTGCTCTTCTAAAACAGTGTTAAAAGGGAACCATCTTTTACAAACAGAATCACAAACACTTGGTGTTTAAGACCATCAGTATCACTCCAAAGTGGTGTTCACGTTTCACAGTTGTGAAGAAATGACTTACATGGGTCAGCAGCCATAAGAAAATAGGTATTTTGAAATAGTAAAAAATCAGAAACAATTTAAACACCCATCAATAGAGAACTGCTTTAAATAGTATGGTAAAGATGTGGAATTCTGTATCACTTTGTTAGAAAATGGACAAGGTACAGACATACAGATAAAAATAACATTTGTAAAAGTGCTTATACTATTCTAACATTTCCATAGAAGAAAAAAATATGTTAATATTATATATATACAATTAATATTATATATATACATTTAATATATAAAATATATACACATATATATACTATATGTGTGTATATATATATATATATATATTTTTTTTTTTTTTTTTTAATCATAGACTATTTCTGGAGGAACATGGAAGGTAATAGGAGTTGCCCTCAGGGAGGAGAAATAGTGCCTGGGGACAAAGGAAAGAGAGAATTTTGTTTTCATCATATAATCTACTTCTTAAATTTTGTACTCTGAGCAATAGATTACCTACTAGGAAATAGAAGTTAATTGGTGATTCCTCAAAAGGCTAAATCTATAATAAACCTATGAGCCAGCAGTGCCATTCCTAGGTTAACACCCAGAAGAACTGCAAACAGGGACAGAGGTTCCATACACCAGCGTTCACTGCAACGTGATTCACAGTAGCCAAAAGGTGGAGACAACCCAGCTGCCCGTCAATAGACGACTGGATAAAATAACATGGGGTTACACCTACAATGCAGTATTATTCAGTCACAAGGAGGAAGGAATTTCTGATACATGGATGAGTCTTGAGGACATTATTCTAAGTGGAATAAGTCAAACACGAAAAGGACAAATGCTGTATGATTCCACTTAGATGAAATATCTACAATGGCGAATTCACAGAGACACAAAGTAGATGAGAGGTTACGGGGGTTGGAGGGAGGGAAAATATAGGTGTTTTTGCTTAACTATCAAGGAGTTTCTGTTTAGAAAAAGTTGTAGAAGTAGATATCATGACGGTTGCAAAATATATGAATGGAATTAATACCACTGAACGGTACACTTAAAAATGGTTAAGATGGCCAATTTTGTGTTACATTGTACCACAATAAAAAATCAAATAACATGGAATTTAAAGAAAAACTTAATTTTAACTTTTGCAGCTTCATCTCTTCTCTACCAGTGGCTTCCCAGAAACAAACCTGCTTCCAACCTGACCCCATTCTCCCAAAGCAGACAGTACTGCGTGCATCCTGTGTACAAGGATCCTCCATCGGGCACTGCCCAAAGTAGAAAGATATGGGGACACATGTCCTGGGTTTCAGAAGGGCTTATCCCCGGAGCCTAGGCAGCAGATCTGTGTGTTAACTATTGTGTAAAGCAAAAACAACGCTGCATAGACCTGCCTGCCCTGAGCCACGGGAGGATAGAGGCAGGAGCAAACCAGCTTTAACTGGAAGATTCAGGATGGTTTGACCGAGGAAGGTGCCTTTCAGCCGCCCTGGAAGGGGAAGTGGGGTTCTGTGAGCAGCAGGGGGTATTCTAGACTCAGAGGGCAGACGACCAAGCTTCCTTGGTAGGTAGGGACACCAGTGAGCAAAGGGCAGTAGTCTGGCACTGGGCTGTGGGTCTGGGAAGATCCTATGGGAAGGCGATTCTGGAAGGGCAATTGAGGCCAGATGGTGCCCATTTCTAAGTGTCTGTAACTCATTTGGGCTTTTAAATGCTGGTAACAGGGAAATCGCTTAGGTATTCTTTCTGTTCTTCTCTCCCCACTGTCTTGTTTGCCATTTAAGGATGTGAGCCTCTTACCCTTATCAGGCAGAGAACTTGGAAGAGTTTACATTTTTTTTTTTTTTAATTCATTTTTCCAACTCAAACTATGTTTGCCATCTAGTGATTAATTCATGCCATTGCAACAACCTAATTCAGACGCCTTGTTCCTTAGCCTGGCAGTTAGGCTCACGGGCCTCTATACTCGTGGTGCTGGCCATTTCCTCCCTGAACTTCACTGGCCACGTGCCCTGATACAGACATTGGTGTTCGGACACACTCTCATGAAATCTGACCCCTCAGAGAGGAGGAGTAATATTCATGTGAAAGAGAAAGGTAGTTGTTTAGAAGAAAGTGATCCTCAGAAATTAAGTATAAGAAGAGTTTAAGTAGCAGCATCTTTGTGAGACCATGGATCACTCCCATCTATGGACAAGATTTCTTGACCACATAGATAGCACAGTCATTCGCAGCTTTCCCCTCCCTCTTGTGTAGCTTATAAAGAAAGACAGGGACTTTTAACAGCTGTGCCTCCCAATAGTGATACCCATTTGAACATAATTCTCTAAACGCTTACCTTTCTGAATGGAGACCAAAGTAAGTAGCCCCACCACCTTCTTCTATTTGTTACATCATTGAGTTAACAAAGGCTACTCAAAGGATTTTCTTTCAAAGGCTGTCTTCAATCCACTGGAATAGGGGGCCAAGAAATGTTGGGTTTCATGTGTAGAGGATTTAAAAAATCATCAGTCACTCAGAATTCTTGAAGGGCCCAGATACGAAATTCTTTTGTAGCAGAACCAGTTTTCAGAGACGAATCGCAATTTCTAAGCAATGATGATTTCTGCATTGGAAAGTGAACTGGGACCAGCATGTCTTCTGCCCCTCAGATCTAGGCTGTGGGAACTCACTGACTCAACAGTCATTAACTGAATGACTGTTAACTGCTGGGCTTTGAGCAAGGCACTCGTGGATACAGCGTGTTAGATATAAAACTATTACCATGACATCTTTTTCAAAACTTTGTTATAACCCCCCACCCCACCTTCCATGGGATCCAAGCACGGGTTGCTTACAGTGGATTCTGTCCTCGGGAGAATTATGCTGCAGAGAGATAGTGAGCAGGGTTCCCCATTCTACTGCCAAGTTCAGCTTATTTCTTTTAGGTTGTTATGAAGTGTTACCTGGATAGCAGCTTCTGGCCTCCAATCCAGCAGCACCGTCCAAGCCCTGAAATGGGATAGAATCTATTAGAGGAAGCCATTAGCTCAATCTCTGAAACCACGTGATCTGCCTGTCATTTTTTGGTGAATGGCTCTGCATCTGACTTTTGTAGGGAAAGCCAGAGATACCGGGTGTATGTGGTGATACCGCTGCTGCCAGGATTTGAAGGCGACATCTCCACGGGAGGAGGAAACGCCCTGCAGGCAATCATGCACTTCAACTACAGGTGCCAGAGCTCTAAAGTAGGCTCTTCTCAGCTTTCTATCAGTCACGCACGTAAGCTGGTGAAACGAATGGAAATGTTTCTCTACATCTATTCAGGGAGTGGTGAACAGATGAACGCTTTCTTTTACTTTTGGATCTTGGCCTGTTTACTAGTTGATAAAATTCAAATAGAGCCTAAAATTGTAAATGGCGGGCCTAGAACACATGGCAAATATAAAAAGAACTGAAATGTAAATCTTTTATATTCATTGCCTATCCACAAGGCATTCATATACATATATCTTATAAAGGGAGACAAGGACTATATATATATATATATATATACATATATACATATATATATATATATCTCACACACACATATACACATAATAATATATGTAATATTGGTTCAGAAATTATCTTGAAGCCACCACATAGTTATTGAGCTTTCCATAGTCCTTGAAGAAAAAAATTAAATGCTTAAAGTAGTATGATTTTCTATGTGTTTGTTTATGATTCTTTAGGTAGCAAGGTTTTCAGCAAGGTTGGTAATGATAACCTTTGCCAATAAATGAAGTATGAAGGTTCTTTCCTAGCTCCTGGGATTTTAATTCTGCTTTCTCTGCCACAGCTTTGTAAAATTTAAAGGAAAGTATGAAATCCTGTTCTCAATATTCTAAAAAGCAGAATTGCCATATTCACTCACAAAAAACCTGTGAAGCTTCAGACTTGGCCAGTAGAGCATTAGGAGGGGGGTTGGGAGCTTTGTCTGGTGAGCAGACGTAGAGAGGAGGTGTAGACAGTGATGGTCCTCTAACATTCTCTCTGGGTCCCTTAGCTGGGAAAGAGAATGGCAGTGAAGAGGTAAGTGGACAGGTTTGGGCATGAATCCCAGCTCCCAGTAACAAGCACTGTGACCTGAGATACCAAAGAGCTCTGCTCAGAATCACACTTGTTCTAAGTCAAAGCAAGGACAAGAACCTGGATATTTTCTTTTACTGTCCCTTATCTTTCAGAACCATCTGTAGATTCCCACCTTTCTAACCAAATCTTTTTGTTGGGGAGGGACTAAGGAGGGACTAAGGAGCCCTTACACAGAACTCCCAGTGTGTAAAGCAGATATGGTGGTCTTTTTTTTTTTTTTTAATCCTCTCATTTTTTTACTTTTTGAGGTATGCCTGTTTGTCAGGATCTCAAGTAAAGATTTTTTTTTTAAGTTTTTTCTTGGGTAATTTTGCCTGGTTACAGTATGAGAAAACTTTATGCTTTGGTCTATATTCTTTGATTGAAGATTTGCCCACTTCTAATATTATCTGATTTATAACATGACAAACAAAGCTTTTCATGTATTTAAGGCACTGACATAATGTTTAATTGGATTTTATCCACTTCATTTGCCATTCTAATATTATTTTTGGAATATTGTCAATTGTAATTATTTTCTATGACTATTTTCTTGGGTTTGAACCAGCTGCGTGAAATAACATGCTTGGCTTTTGTTCAGCAACTAAAATTCTAACCTTTTATTATGCAAAAACATCTCTATTTGCTGGCATCATCTTTAAGAATATCAGTATTTCCCAAGTGAAACTGTATTTTTAATTACTTTTTACAGAGCAAGCAGATGGAGCATAGAATTTTTTTTTTGTTTTGTCAGTCTTTATAATTCATTGACTATTATCAGAGTGGTGAGAAACAAAATCATTAGCAGAGTCAGTTATCTGAAACTCTTGTTTTTCACTTTTCAAGGCATTTGCCTTGGTATAGAGTTTAGTTCTGCAATTATTCTGCTAAGTGTTTGCCCTTTTAAACACCTCTGAAAGAAACGTGAGTCTGTAAGTGCTTTCACTTATTGAGGTATTCTAAATTTATCTTTGCTGTCACTGAATTTTCTAAGAGGGAAAGTTCATTCATAGCCCATCATTTTAAAATAGCACCTCTTTCTGAAATCTAACATCAATTTTATGACTTTTCCATTTCCCTACCTCAAAACAACTATCTTGTCCCATCAGTAATATTACAAAAGTGATATCCAGGTGGGCTTTTTTTTAGCTTCTTAAAAATCCATGTAGCAACTTCTCATAAAAGCGCTTGCTCTGTTTTTACTGGGGGTAGGATGATGCTTCACAGATATTGCAGTTGAGATGGGTTCCTTTGAAGCCTCCATAATCATTTCTTTCCTTTACGTGTGTTCAGGACCATGTGCAGAGGAGAAAATTCCATCCTTGGCCAGCTAAAAGCAAAGCGTAAGTAACAGCTTTTATTTTCCCCCATGGTCGTTTTTGGTGCCATATCCCTAATCACTGATGTTTTCACAGTGTGATTGTGACACCCCATTCACAAAAGGTAGGCCACGAAGTGTTTAACTGAGACAAGTTACTTATTACATTGCCCAAAGCAAAGTTCAGATGAAGATGCCACAACTTCAGATGTGTAGGTTATAAAAAGTAAGGGTATTTTTATTATTATTTATTTATACTAATTATTTTGATAACAAATGAGATTTGTAAGGAACTTCACAAGGACCCTCCATGTGTCTTCTGCGGTCCTTCACCACAGCCCTGGGAAGTAAGCAGGACAGGTGTCATTTCTGCTTTAAAGCTGAGGGCACAAATGATGCAAGGCCAACAGGTCTTCACACTTGTTAGTTATGCAGAATTCCCAATGTTGTCACAGTACTGTCTTATATTTAGGGAAGAAAACTGATTTTATTTATTTATTTCGTTTATTTTAGACTAAATCTTTGACGGCATTATACTTAGAGGTAAATAAATCAGAAAGAAGCTCACAGTAATACCTTTCACTTCTGTAGTTCTTTGTATTTTCAAAGAATCTTTCTCAGTTATCTTTTTTTTTAAGATTTTATTTATTTATTTGAGATAGAGAAAAAGAGAGCACAAGCATGAGTGGGAAGAGGGGCAGAGGGAGAGGGAGAAGCAGATGCCCTTTTGAGCAGGGAGTCCTATGTGGGACTTGATCCCAGGGTTCTGGGATCATGATGTGACCCAAAGTCAGATGCTCAACCAACTGAATCACCCAGGCACCTCTCAGATATCTTCTTAATTGACCTTCTACATAGTTCCCACCTACCAGATATTATAACTATGGATTTACTTATCTATATCTCCCGATACTAAGTTCAGCACATAGTCGGTTCTTGATAATGGATATGGATTATGCAGACTTGAGGGCCATATTTAAAAAGAACTAGATTTTATCCTGAAAAAGATAAATTGGTGGAAGTCTCTGTTCCCTGGAGTGAACCTATTAATATGGTGCTTTATGCAAAGATTCACCTACCATTGGTAAGCAAAATAGAGGGAGACTGGTCGTAGGCAAGAGATCATGATGTATCAGAATGTGGGGAGAGGGGCATCTGGGTGGCTCAGTCAGTTAAGCAGCCAACTGTTGATTTCAGCTCAGATTGTAATCTTGGAGTCCTAGAATTGAGCCCCACATCATGCTCCATGCTCAGTGGGAGTCTGCTTGAGGATTCTCCCTCTCCTTCTCCTCCTGCCTCCCCCTTCTCACACTCTCTTTCAAATAAATAAATCTTTTTTTTTTAAAAGAGTGTGGGAGAGAATATTAGTCCTTCCATGTATGTATATTTTTCACTTAAAAATAAAGAATTGGGACATCAGCAGGAAGGCATAGTAAGGATATCCAAAAATCCACTTCACATAAAAGCAACAAAAACACTGACAGAGATGGTTAAAATCAACTTTTTTAGAACTCTGGGAATTAACCAAAGGCTTATAACACTCTGAGGAATGTTTGTTTAAAAAAAAAAAAAAGAAGAAGAAGAAGGATGGCAAAATCTTTGTGGCATTTTAATTTGCCATATTCCCCTTACCCTCTCCTCAGTTCTACAGTAGCCTTGAAAATCAATCTCTTCATCACTATGAAAACCAGCAGCCTATCAGCTCTCAGAGGAGCCATGGGTTTGAAGCTCCCATCCTCTGGAAGTTCTCAGGGAAGTGTCATAATGTGACCTGACTGTTTAAATGACTTTAAAAGACCTACTGTAACTGTGTGATTATAGTACAGTTTAACTATGTTCAAAGAACTAAAGGAAGTAACAGCTAAACAACTAAAGGAAGTAACAGCTAAAAAACTAAAGAGAACAAAGAAACAATTTCTTTCCAAATAGAAAATGTTAAAAAAAATAGAATATTTTTTATTAAAATGTTTCTATAAAATTTCTTTTTTAGGGGAGAAGGAGCCAATTATAAATTCTGGAGTTGAAAGGTATAATAACTGAAATAAAATGTATAATAGAGGAGTTTAGTGGTAGACTGGAGTAGGCAGAAAAATCAACAAACCTGAAGACAGAGCAATTGAAATTAGATAGCCTGAGGAACAGATAGGAAAAAAAGAAGACAAATCAACAGAGCTTTGGAAACCTGTGAAACACCATCGAACATAGCAACGTATACATAATGGGAGTCCTAAAAAGAAAGGAGAGAAAAGTGTAAATAGGATATTTAAAGAAATAATGACTGAGGGGCACCTGGGCAGATCAGTCGGTTAAGCATCCAACTTGGTCTTGGCTCTGGTCATGATCTCAGGGTCATGAGATCGAGCCCTGCAGCAGCTCCCATGCACAGCTGGGAATCTACTGGAGGTTCTCTCTCCCTCTTCCTCCCCCTCTGCCCTTCCCCACACTCATTCTCTCTCTCTCTCCTCTCTCTCTCAAATAAATAAAATCTTTTTTTAAAAATGGCTGAAAACTTCCCAAAATTAATGGGAAATATGAATCTATACATCCATAATGTTCAACAAAATCCAACAAAGATACAGGAATCCATACCAGACCACATCATAATCAGACTATCCAAAGACAAAGATAAAAAGAATCTTGAAAGCAGCAAAAGAAGCAAATAATCAAACACACATCATCCTCTGTAAGATTAATAGCCAATTTCTCATCAGAAACCATGGAGTTCTGAGTGTACGGTGATGACCTATTCAAAGTGCTGGAAGAAAAGACTATCAACCAAGAACTCTGTGTCCAGCAAAACTATCCTTCAAAAATGAAGGAGAAATTAAGGCATTTTCAGATAAGCAAAAACAGAATTTATCACTAGCAGACCTTCCCTACAAGAAATGCTAAAGGGAGCTCTCAGGCAGAAATGAAAAGTTACTGGGAAGAAACTGGAATCTTCACAGAGAAACAAAAAGCACAATGACAACTACTTAGGTAAATTAAAAAGACAGTATAGATATATTTTCCTTTTCTAAATTTTTTTCCTCCAATCAAAATTAAAAGACAGCTAACCAGAGCAGTAATTATAAATCTGTGTTGATGGGTATATAATTTTTAAAGATCTAATTTGTATGATGTTAATAGCATAAGAGAAGGGGAAGGAAATGGAGCTATGATGGTAATCCAAACTAGATTGTAATACCCAGGAAAACCGCTAATGAAATTACTTTTAAAATATAGTGAAAGCAGGGGTTCCTGGGTGGCTTACTCAGTTATGCATCTGCCTTTGGCTCAGGTCATAATCCCAGGGTCCTGGGATCGAGTCCCATGTCAGGCTCCTTGCTCAGCAGGGAGCCTGCTTCTCCCTCTGCCTGTAGCTCTGCCTGCTTGTTCTCTCTGTGTCAAATAAATAACTAAAGTCTTTCTTTTAAAAAAAATTAAGAAAAAAGAAAGATCTCAAATCAATAACCAAACCCTATACCTTAAGAAATTGGAAAAAGAAGAACAAATTAAACTCAAAGATAGCAGAATGAAGGAAATAATACAGATCAGAGGGGATATAAATGAGAGAATGGAAGAACAATAAAATTATGAAAACATACACTGGTTTTTTGAAAAGATTGACAAAACTGACAACCCTTTAGCTATACTGACCAAGTACAAAAACAGAGAAAACTCAAATTACAAAAAAAGGAGGATAAAAGAACACTACATAGAGTTATGTGTCAACAAATTAGTTAACCTAGATAAGATGGACAAATTCCTAGAAAGACATAAACTATCAAAATTGACTCTAGAAGAAACTGAAACCTTGAATAGACTTATAATAAGCACAGAAATTGAGTAATCGAGAGTCTTCCTACAAAGAAAAGCCCAGACTCAGATGGCTTTGTGGGTGAATTCTACCATCCACAAAAGAGCACCAATTACTCATAAACCTTTTCCTCACAAAAAGGGAGAAGGAAATACTTCCAGCCCATCCTTTGAGACCAGTATTACCTTAGTATCAAATCTGAAGTCATTATAAGAGAAGAAAGCTACAGGCCAATATCTCTTATGGATACAGACACAAACTACCTCAGTGAAGTATTACTAAACTGAATCTAGTAATATAAATACAAGTCAAAACTATGAGATACCACATCACACCACAACACAAGAAACAACAGATGTTGGTGAGGATGTAGAAAAAGGGGAACCCTCTTGCACTGTTGGAGAATGCAAACCAATGCAGCCAATCTACAAAGGAGTATGGAGGTTCTTCGGAAAGTTAAAAATAGAACTACCCTATGATCCAGCAATTGCACTACTTAGGTATTTACCCAAAGAATACAAGAATACTAATTTAAAGGGAAACATGCACCCTAATGTTTATAGCAGCATTATCTACAATAGCCAAATTATGGAAAGAGCCCAACTATCCATCAACTGATGAATGGATAAAGAAAATGTGGTATGTGTACACACACACATACACACACACAGGAATATTACTAAGCCATAAAAAATAATGAAACCTTGCCATTTGCAGTGACATGAATGGACCTAGAGAGTATAATGCTAAGTATAATAACTCATAGAAAGACAAATACCATATGATTTCACTCATGTGGAATATAAGAAACAAAACCAATGAGCAAAAGGAAAAAAGAGAGTCAAACCAAGAAACAAACTCTTAACTGTAGAGAGCTAACTGATGGTTACCAGAGGGGAGGTGAATGGAGAATGGGGGAGATAGGTTATGGGGATTAAGGATGACACTTGTGATGAGCATAGTGTTGTATGGAAGTGTCAAATCACTATATTATACACCTGAAACTAATATTACACTATATGTTAACTAACTGGAATTTAAATGAAAACTTTAAAAAAATAGTACAGGCTCTCTGGAAAGCAGTTGGTGGTTTCCTATAAATTAAACATAGAGTCACCATGTAACCCAGCAGTTCTGCTCCATAGTATATACTGAAAAGAACTGAAAACATATGTTCACACAAAAACTTGCACATGAATGTTTACAATAGCATTATTCATAATAGT